TGTTGCTCTGGCACCTCTCCGCAGTCCATGTGCTGGGCTGTTGCCTGCGGCCATGGCAGAGTTATCAGGCTGGGATGCCCTGGGGAGAGGGGTTTCGGTTCACTAAATGGTATATCTCAGTAATAACACAGCTTCTGCTTCTGCTTCTCTGCAAGCCACAGCCCAGACCTGTCGTGTTAGAGTGATGTGCTCTGAGGTACTCAGCTTTCTCAGAGTCCGTCTTTATTTTTGGTTTATCTTTTCGGCAAGCGAAGGTAGCTTTCGTGCTGCTTGCCTGACTCTCTCCAGTGGTGGGACTGGAGGTTCCTTCCTACAGAAAAGGTCATAGAAGCAGGTCGTAGATGAGAGCTGAGGCAGGTTTCTGCGTCACACCACCTTTGTTGCAGTGTACCTGGAGACGTATGGCTGCCAGATGAACGTCAATGACACTGAGATCGCCTGGGCCATCCTGCAGAAGAATGGCTATGCGAGGACAAAGGAGTTGGATGAGGTAAGGCACCTTGGCAGCTCTCCTGTAGCGCAGGCCTGCAAGGGCGTCACCACTCTTGTGCCTGCGAGTCTCAGCTTTTGTCTGGAGTGCAATCCTGCAGGATGTTGTGATTTTTTGCAGTCTAAGTTCGGTGAGGTAAAGGAGACTACTTAACATGTGTGCTAGAAAGCTGTGGGTTGTCTTTTTTCTTTAAACGGCTGGGTTCTCTCAGCTGGAGAGGGATTGGACACAGCAGGACTCAGCTTTGTCTGAGTTCACCACTACCATTTAGTGGAAGACTCTGCTTGTCTTCTGTTAGTTTCTTGCACCTTTGTTTATTGAAACCCACCACATACTTGGGCAGATCGTTTTCACTGAGTTAAGTGAGTTTTACAGTCTGCCTCTTCAGGTTACCCGTGCAGGGCATGAGTACTTACTGTTTGGCTTTTACAAATTCTTCTTCCTTTTTTGTTGTTTTCAATTTAGGCAGATGTGATTCTCCTTGTCACCTGTTCTGTGAGGTAAGGAAACTTGTGTCACTGCTGGTTTTGGACAGTTTTTAAGGAATTACCATTTGAAAACCAAGGCAATAAATGTGTTGTGTGAGGAAAAGAGCATACAGATGTGAAACTGCCTGTTTAGTTGAGGGTAGAGCTAGCTGATGCTACAATGTATAACATTAATTGTGCTATGAATTGCTTTTCTATATGGTGAGGGGAAGTTCTTTGGTAGCGTAAGCTCTGTGTGTATGCCATGGGCAGTTAGAGACCTGCACAGATTTGTGCTTTAATGATTTAATTTTTTTAATGTTCTTCTGTCTTGAAGTGACTGTCTCTCTAGTACAGGGTCTGTACTTCAAAAATTTGGGAAATACGTTTAGGGGCAATTTAGGATATAAATATATAGGGAACTTTGCTTGTTTTTTCTGAATGCAGAAGATATAGAATGCTCATTGTTACTTGCAAGGCAGCTCATATTGCAAGCTAAGCTCTGCAAGAGCTTAGTCCCTGAGTTGTTTCTACAGCGCAGATGCTCCCAAGCGAGTGAAATGATAGTAGATAAGATGGAATCAAGACATAATCCACACACCCTGAACGACACTTACATGTGTTTTCAGCTAGATCCATCAGGTTGATGATTCCTCGTCTTTAGTTGAATTTTCCTCTCAGAGCACTTGGGCTGCTTCAGGTTGGAGGACCGTTAAAAGCGCAACAACCGGAATAACCACTGTTTTCCTGGCTTCCCAGGGAGAAGGCAGAGCAGGCTATCTGGAATCGCCTGCAGCACCTCAAGGCGCTGAAAGCCCGGCGGCAGCAGGCTCGCTTACCTCTCCGCATTGGGATTCTAGGTACCTGGCGGGATGTGCAGCCATGGTAGCACACACTGTTGTGCCACATCCCATCGTTTTCTCTTCCCCTCTGGCGGCACTGAGCCTTTCCTGCAGGGTGAAAGCGGCTAGTGAAGGGGTGCGGAGGTGTAACAGAGGGTGGGCACTTCCTCACAAGGACCCTTCTCCTTTGGTGGCAGGTTGCATGGCTGAGAGGCTTAAGGAGGAGATTCTGCACAGGGAGAAGCTAGTCGATATTGTGGCAGGCCCTGATGCATATCGTGACCTTCCCCGGCTGCTGGCCGTGGCAGAGTCTGGCCAGCAAGCTGCTAATGTCTTGCTGTCGCTAGATGAGACTTACGCAGATATTCTGCCTGTCCAGACTAGTGCAGGTGGCACAACAGCATTTGTGTAAGTACCTTTTTTTCTTGTGCATGTTTCTGTGCTCCTGGTTTGGAAATACTGCTGTGCGGAACAGACATGTCAGTGACAGCAGCTACCCAAGAGATCCAATGCCTGGTTGCACTCACTCCCAGCAGCCCAGAGGCATGAGTCTACCAGACTGTGTGTTTGCTGCTTCTTCACTGTCTGACTGAGCCCTGGAGGGACTGCCCCATGCTCTGGCTGTCTGCGGGCTTCTCTTATTCTCCTTTGAGAACATTGATTGTCTAAGCCTGATGCTGCACCGAGTGATTTCTGTCCCACTAACATCTGTGCCTTTCTAAAGTCTGTGCCTCTCATCCCCTGCCTTCTGCTATGTCCTGCCCCAGGTTCTCCTATTTAATTCTGCTAATCCTCCATGCATTGTAACTTCTGTTGGTTTTGTTTCCATTTGTTTATTTTTGATAATAAGATTCCCAAACATGAAATCAGACTCTGCTCAGTGTGGCCATAAAGTACAGAAGGACAGTATCAGCCTCTGTAGGAATAGGATGCAGAAGGGTCTTTCATCACTGCCAGATTGCAGTGCAAGTCTGTGCCTCATTAGTTGCTTTCCAAGTTTCTTGGAAATGTGCATGAAAAATTAGGAGCTATTTGCTAGGGGCAAGCAGAAGCCAGCTCTGGCTGGAATGGTGCATAAGGGGAAGCTGCAGAGCTGTGTTCAGAGCTGGTGCTGTGTGTGCTGCAGGCCAAGGGAATTGGCTGTTGGCAGCAGTGCTGGGCCAGGTCAAAGCAGGGCAGGATGCAACATGGATGATTCTTCCAGAGTGATCGTAGTATGACCTGTACTTTACCTCTTGGCAGATCTATCATGCGGGGCTGTGACAACATGTGTAGCTATTGCATTGTGCCCTTCACCCGTGGCCGTGAAAGGAGCCGCCCCATCGCGTCCATCCTGCAGGAAGTGCGGATGCTCTCGGATCAGGTGAAGCAGAGCCTCCCACTTGTCCCCACCCATGGGAGGAAGGATGGTTCTCAGTGAAAGTGTTTTCACTGATACCTTTGACCAATGACATCGCCTTTATCTGTGGAGATGAGGTTACCATAGGGTTCCACCAGTGGCTTTTTGATTCCCCTTGTAATACTCTGAGACAGACAGGAAGGGAGGGCCTCCCTTGGAGACTCCTCCTTGAAGTAAAAGTAAAACCATGGCTGCCCTTGCAGCTTAGCCATCCTGACAGGGTTATATTTTTTTCCCCTCTGTTTATCTTCATAGGGAGTGAAAGAAGTGACCCTTTTGGGTCAGAACGTCAACAGCTTTCGAGACATGTCTGAGGTACAGTTTCAATCAGCGGCTGCCCCAGTCCTCAGTCGTGGCTTTAGCACAGTCTACAAAGCTAAACCAGGAGGCTTGCGCTTTGCACATCTTCTAGACCAGGTTTCTAGAATTGATCCAGAAATGAGGATCCGTTTCACCTCGCCACACCCCAAGGATTTTCCTGATGAGGCAAGTGTAAAGTAAACACCTGGACCTCTGCTTGCAGGCAGGCAGGCAGCTCTGAACTGCTAGATGTGGGCTGTGCTTCCTTCCCAAAGGGAACATGGAATTGCAGAAGGAACAGCAGCTCCTGAGAGGGGAAATGGTTATGCTAAAGCCAGCAGATTTGCAATTTGCTGGCTTTTACCTGGGGAATACTCTTCCCCTTGGCATCCTGGTAGAGTTAAGCTGTCTATGACGTTGTCTCCTGATTGCCCATCACAGGTCCTGCAGCTTATCCAGGAGCGACACAACATCTGCAAACAGCTTCACCTCCCAGCCCAGAGTGGAAGCACACGAGTCCTGGAGGCCATGCGACGAGGGTGAGTGATCACCATGTGGAGTCCTGTGCCTTGCCCTCTGATTTAGGGTGCTGATTTCTCCTCACCAATGTGGTTTTCTGATTAGCAAATCCACGTGTTGTTCATCGCAGATACACAAGAGAAGCATATTTAGAGCTTGTACACCATGTGCGTGAGTCCATTCCAGGTAGGGCCTCCCATTAGCTTGGTCTGAGCTCAGCATTCTTGAGTGAAGTGTTCCTCTCTTCCTTGAGGGAAGTGTAAAGCAGTGTCTCTGTTACAGGAGTGAGGTTAAGCAGTGATTTCATTGCCGGCTTCTGTGGAGAGACAGAAGAAGACCACCAGCAGACCCTGTCCTTGCTGCGGGAAGTTCGCTACAATGTAGGCTTCCTGTTTGCCTACAGCATGAGACAGGTGAGTGCAGGACCTGATGGAGAAGACTGTTACCTCTGGACATCTCACCTAACTCCTGAATGCTGTTCCTCACAGTAAGACACTAGAAAAAAAAATCTATTGAAAATGACACCTAAAGACTCATTATATTGGTAGATTTTTTTTTGCTGGCACGCAGCCCTTCAAGGGTATGTGTTGCTGCAAGTGCTGCCTTTATGCCTGAAAGGCTTCCAGCTCCCTTTTGTGAGTGTAAAGCTTGATTACTGATTGGGTGACCTGGTTCTGCAGATGTTCCAGAGTGATTGCAATGAAGCAGCCATGTCTGCAGAGACCTGGCTGCAGGTCCATTTTTCTTTGTTGATGAGAAATTGTGCTGATGTAGAGAGTCTCTGTCAATCGAGTCTGGTGAGAACTGGTGAATTTTCAGAAGGTATTTCCATGAGAAGAGTGGACAGTTGACAAGTCTCCCTTAGAATGCTCCCCATAGTGTAAGATGCTGACAGGGAAGGGGACAGAAGGTTGGGAAACATAAGGAAGCAAAGGGGTATGGATCACATTTTAGCACATGGGACTAGAAGTAGTAGAATCCATTGCCTGTCTTTGTGGACAGACAGGCAACAGATGCATCTCACGTGGGAGATGCAGCACTTCTGCTTCACACAGCCACCGATACTCAGCGCCCTACATCAAACCTACTACCAAAAAGGTGATGCAGGAAGAATGTGATGAAATCAAAGATGTTGCTGGTGCTTAGCACCTGAAAATGTTCCTTGAGGTTGTAAATACAAACTGTAATGTGTGGAAAGCTGTTGCTTGAAAAGCAGCCAAGCTGGCTGGGGTCAGACAAGGTTCTGATCTCAGACTGTCTGGTTATTCAGGGGCCACACTTTCTTTGTCTGTTTACAGAAAACCCGGGCATATCACCGGCTGCAAGACGATGTGCCTGCAGACATAAAAAAGAGGCGGCTGGAGGAGCTCATTACTGTCTTTCGAGAAGAGGCTGCAAGAGCAAATGAGGCGATGGTGGGCCAGTCTCAGCTGGTGCTGGTAGAGGGGGTGAGTGTGCCTGGAACAAAGTTGTACTTCTCGCCTCTTGCCGGCCGAGAGGCTCTTAGGCTGTACATGGCAATCGTCACCTCTGCCTTCCCTTCTCACTTTCCTCATACAATCCTAGGACTCCAAGACCGTGTCTTCACAATTAAGCAGACAGCCTGATTTTTCCAGAGCACTGAGCTGAGCACAGAGGGATGGAATATACCAGACATGTCTCTGGGCAAGCACTGAATTAGTGCAGGCTTTGAAACATTGCCTTCAGTGTGTGGGTGTCAACACAGCAGCTCTGGCCCTAGGACTTTGTTACATGGCATGCTTAACAGTGTGGAATGTGGATTTAATACTGGCAATAGTGCTCAATTAATTCCTGAGGCAATAAAGCCCAGCAGTGAATCAGCTATTGCCATGCAGGTAATGTTCCCTGTCCTCCTTTCAGCCCAGCAAGCGCTCTGCCTCGGAGTTGTGTGGGAGGAATGACGGCAACATCAAGGTGATCTTCCCTGATGCCGAGATAGAGGATGCTGTGGGCTGCAAGGCTCTGGTCAGAGCCCAGCCAGGGGACTATGTGTTGGTGAAGGTGATCTGTCTGCAGTGCTTGTTTCCTTGTTTCCTTGGGCTCTTTTCCTTGCACAGTGCTGTTCTCTAGAGCAGCTGCTGCCAGGAGAGCCTAAAATTAGAATGGATCCTCATCAGCCTTTCTGTTCCTGAGGACTGTTGTGCTGTTTCTTTCAGGTAACCTCTGCCGGCTCTCAGACCTTGAAGGGAGTTCCGCTCTGTCGTACCAGCCTCTCCCGCTCTGCAGCTTGTCATTGAGGTATCCCTGCTGCTGGTGGACAGAAGCAGCACATTTTCCTCAGGAAGAAACAAGGAAGTTTGGTCAGGTGGAGATAGGGTAGAAACAGGGACATATATGTGTATTAGAATATGTATATGAAATATTAATAAAATACATATATTTCTGTTTTGGCAACAACCTACCCCTCATAGATCTGTGCAAGTTTGTAGGCAAAAGGGATGGAAGCTGTGTATGGATTTGCCAAACCCAGGTACTGTGTAATCTTTTATTTTCACTTGCCCTCAGGCTTGGCCCACCCTTGCAGTGCTGCAGGTCTGTCCTCTGGCTTTGATCATGTCCTCTCATGCAGCCCAGCCTGGGAAATTTATGTCTGCGGAGCAGGTTATTCCTACTAGCTCAGTTGAATTTAGGAGTTGCAAAAACTGGTAGTGCCTGGAAAATAAAGCTCCAGTAACTGCTGGAGAATGGTAGGAGTACTGCCAAAGGGGAGGAAGAACTCGGAGAACAGGAGAAGATTGTGATCAATTCTTTCCAAATATTGATAACTTCCCTATTTGCAAAATGCTTGGAAAGGGCAAGTAAGAACCTGCACCGTGCCTGTGTGATGGAATATGGCACTGAACTGTGGAATGCAGAATGGTGTTTAACATGCACGAGTGATGCTTAATCTGTTGTATCTGAGGCCGAGGGAATGCAGCCTTGCCCTTGTACTGGAGATGTCTGGGTCTAGGTTAGAGAGGTTTTCCCTGTCCCCAGGCCTAAGGTGCTGCATGGTAAGGACTGGCTGCCAGCTGAGGGTTATCTCTAGCCTGTTAAAACTTAAGGTGCATCTTTGTAATCCAAACATCTGCGGATGTCCTTCCCTTTGCTCACTAGAAGAGAGATGTGGTTGTACTGATTTAAATGGCCAGTAAGTTCCTTAAGTGCATCTTACAAGAGTTCCTTGTTTTTATCAGCCTGCAGCTAACTGTGGCTGCACTGTGTCATATTCCAGCCTGGTCTGCTAAATTCAAACAAGTACCTGTAACTTGTAAGTAAACTCTTACGAGATGTGAGAGTCAGCCCTTTTAATATAGGTAATCATATTAGTAAAAGAATTCATTGTGAAAGGCTCTATCCAGTGACAAATTTTGAAGGAAAAGCTGATCAACTCTTACAGAGAAGTCACGACATGAATTTGCAGAATTTTTAAATAAACATAAAAGGGTTTTGCTAGAAAGTCTTCTCTCAGCTTTTTCTGGAATATAATTGTATCTCTTTGAAAACAGCATGGTTCACTGAATATTCATTAGACCTTAGTTTAAGAAACAAACACATTATTATTATTTCAGAGCTGATTCTCTTCTCATAGAAGTGAATCTGCATGATCCTACTCATCAGCGTGGGTTCTGAGGTGCTAACAAATACACAGTGCCATTCTGTTCTGCCTCCAAATGGGAAAGTGTCTTGGGCCCAAATTCACAAACCAGGTCTTAGACTTCTGCTGCTTAGTGAGTGTCAGCCTTTGACCAGTGGGTTTTTAAGGACAAGGCAGTGAGAAGCTGTTTGGTTTGAAATACCAAAGGAAGCAGCAGGGTGTATAAGCATCATCCCTCAAAAGTGGCAGGCACTGAAGCCAACATGTGCTTGCTAATTAAAACAACCGGCTAAGTGGCCCAGTTTTAACTGCCCCGCAGCATCTCTTTCAGCTCATTTTCCCCATGCATCTTGAAACTGTGGCCCAAGCCAGCACCCCCTGAAAAGGGGCTGACGCCCACTTTTCCGTGCTCATGTTGACCTTCTCCCCAGCAGCACCTATTCCAAGTGAGAAATGCAGACTGCAGTGTCCCTCCCCACTCCATCCAGTTTTGAGGCCAGCTGCGGTCGTTTTACAATCATTATTTTAAGAGCAAGAGACTAATGAGGAGGAGAGCTGGGGTTTACGTTTTGATGAGAAGGTGATAATGCTCACTGCACAAACTCCCCAAGGAGCCGTAGCGCTTACCATTTGCCTCGCCTCCTTAGTTTTTATAGACCTCGGGAATGAAGGCTGAGGTTTTAAGGCAGCAAAGCATCCATTAGGAAGCGCTTACAGTGACCTTGGAGGCTGAGTTAGTCGTTTGGCACTGCCTGAAATCAGGAATGTTTTTTTCTCGGGGGCTAGAGGTGGGATGCAGTTTCTGTATCTCTTGTCAGGAAATTTGCTCCCTGAATTCAGTTGTTGGGAAGGCTGAACTTGTCTCTGGTGATCATTCTGCCTTGTGCTCATTCTTGTACATTTCTTTTCCCAGCCTGAGCAGGGACGAGAGTCCTGAACTCCAAAGGACTTTAAATCTCCCACACTGATTTATACCTGTGCCTTCTACAATTGGAAGCTGAAGTGTTGCAGTGTTTTGATATATCTCAGTGATGGAAGGGTTTGTTTTGCTGGGATTGATGCTGTAAGACAGCTGTGGGTTCAAACCAAGATACTGGTTAATGTAAGCGTGCACTGTATCTCTGCTCTGTAGAGAAACATGGATCCAGGAATTGGCACCCAGGCTTGGTGGGAACATGACTATCTGGGATTTGTTACCAGCAAAGAGGCCTCCTAGGTTTTTATTATCCAGAGTGCAATGTTTAAAAGCCTTAATTTCAACCAATTTTGTAAGTGTGCTCATGAGATACATTTTGTAATGAAGCTCAGTCCTCACCTCCAGTATCCCAAACTCCTGGAACAAGTTCTGGTGTGTTCCCAAGGAGCCCCAGGAGACAGCAGCCCTGTTACAGTTTGAAAGCTGGATCCTAGTCTTGTTCTTTTGGAAAAGAGCTGCAGGCAGCCCCTGCCAGGCTCCAACTGCTTCTGGGCACAGGAGGAGATGTTCATCAGAGGCAAAACGCTACCCGTTGGATGCTGGGTGGTGTTTTGTTCTAAGGATGACTCAGAAGTCTTCCTCAGGTCAGACCCACAACTCTAAATCCCTCCTCACTGTGCAGTCCCGGTGGTGTTCTCTGTGCTCAGCCTTCCTGTATCCACTCACTTGGGATGGAAACTGCTAGCAATAACAACACTAGACCAGAAGTCACCAGCCTCAGGAAGTTTAAAAAAAAAAAAAAAAAAAAGGAAGAAATGGAAGTATTTATTCACATGGGTTTGGGGTTATCTGCTTGCTCTTTCTGCTCTTTATATTCCTATGGTTCCAAGTTTATATTCCCGGTATTGGGCAGAGTGAATTTCCCAAGTGAAGGAGACCAACCAACTTTTAACCCTGCCCTGAACCATTCCCACAAAAATGCTGTGTTCAGGTCACGCCCTGGAAAAGATACAGAAAAAATCACAGCAGCATCTATGTCAAGGTCCTTTGCTGCGGCAGATTCTTTAGGTAAGAGCCAGGGGATTAACGGGATGTATGTGACATGCACAGAGCATAAGCTTGAAACGCCTTCGGCGAGGAGCCCAAGAGCCACACTTGCTAAAGCACACTAGCCACGCTAGGTGCAAAACTAGACCAGGCTCATTAAAAGTCTGTGGTCAAGGTAGAGAACCCTCACTTGCCATCTGCAGGGCTGGGCACCGAGGGCACCGCAGGGGAAGGTGGCAGTCCATCAGCAAACGAACCGACCTGCTAGAAAAACAGCTTAAACTCCATCCGCTCAGAAAAAAAGGCAGGCAGCCTCCAGCCTGTGCGAGCCTCTGGGGACTTCAGTCGGATGCCTAAGCGAGACATGAAACGGCCCCTGGGATGCTCCTGCTGACTTGTGCTGTGCTGAGCACAGGCTGCGGCATCGCCTGGGAGCCCTCCCGAGTCGGGTCACCGCTGTAGCTGTGCCGGTAAAGCACCAGCGCCTGGGGACACCGGCTGGTGACTGCAGCTGCAGCCCCATCCAGTATTACCGGTATGTAGTGATAAAAATTGGGGTTTAGTGCTGCTGAGAACAGGTCTGTGCTGTCAACCGTGCCCAGGCCAGCCAGCTGCAGTGACAGCGAGCGTTCCTGCCTGGGGCGCAGGATGGGTCTGCTGGGCTCTGCAGCCTCTGCCCTGTAACTTCTGCCACTCGGTTTGTTTTAATCTAGTTTTTCATTAAAGCAGAGTCTCATTCTGAGTGCAACCTCTGCTGCCAGAGCAAAGCAGCTCTGGGGACCCATTCTCCTTCACACCTCTCTGACTCCCCGACTCCCTCGAGTGCCTCCTGATTTACAGCAGGATGGGGCTGGGCTTGTAGGTAAGTGTTAGACATCTTAGTGTTACACAGTGACTCGCAACGCTAGTAATGGCAGCGCTGGTGCTCTGCCCTGTCGCGCAGCCTCTCGCACAAGCGAGGAGGCACGTTAGTCCCTCCAGCCCGTCCCGCTGCTGCGAAGCACCAGGATTTATGCAGTGTCCTGCCTCCCGCGCTGGACGATGTGCCGGGCTGTGGTTACGTCGGCATCTCGAGTGCTCGGCCAGTCCTTTCAGGGGTGATCAGAGCCCTGCCCAGCCTCACCTCTCCAACAGCTCCCTCCTTCCCAGGGAATTGTCCCACCGTCCCTCTGGAGAACACACAAACTTTTTTTGCCTCCGTCCAGCCAGTCGTGCCCCGGTTACACCCATGGGAAAACACCTATCGAGGCATTTGGGAGATCAGTTTTCTGAGCCCAGACCTGAAGTGCTGGGATGATATTTGTTTTCAGGCACTAGCTGTGCCCTGAGGCACCTCCTGACACTGGGATTTCATAACACACAACCTGCACGCTTTCCTTTTCTGCTCGCAGTGTGTGTTGAGTGAGGCTGGACATCACCACAAACACACAAAGAGCTTCACGTGGTAGAAAGGTCCCTGCCAGAGAGAACAAGAGCCTGTTTGTTCTCTGCGCTCCCATCACACAGCCCTAAGGAGTGAACCTGTTTGTCCTCCGGTCTTGGCTGTGCTTACAGAGAGGAGGGACAAACGGCAGCGGGCGCTCTGAGCCAGTGTTCATCTGCTCCTCACTGCCGTTTATCGGCCTAAGGACACTCTCAAAATAGATGCCCGTCGTTGTCTACACTACTCCTACGCAGCCTTGCTCCCTTCTCCAAGACTCTCTGAGCAGTTGGGCTTTTCCCAGTGCCAGAGCCGGCTGTGGCGTGTCACATCCTTCCCCAGAACCACCAGTGGTCTGCAATCTGTTTTCCCTCTGCATATCAATGAAGCTGGAGGG